TTGCTGTGGGGAAAGGCAGAAGGAGGGGTGCTGTCTGTAGCACGAAGCTGAGGCACAGCTGCTTGCTGCTTTGTACAGGGACTCTGTCGTGATATGTCACAGAATTTCTCTTCTGGGCAAGGCGACCAGACAGATCTTTCTCTGCAGTCTTTTTGCCACTGTCCCAGCTGTCTCGCTTGTGGAGCCAAACATACAACCTGACTAAGAGTATTTTCCTTTCTTCACAAATGATAGAATAATGTATTCATTTTCAATCTTTTTAAGAGCTGGCATCCTGCTATCAGGTTGGGCTATGACTTAAACTCATCCAGTGAGTCAGACTCATGCAGCGGGTGGAGCTGACGTGATCTTTGTAATATGTGGTCTTTATTAACCTGTATATTTGCTGTCTGACATTCGCTTAAACTTAAGTTTTGGGCTGCAGGAAGGCATACAGCCACTGAAGTTCATAGAAGCTCATGTAGTCCTCCTAATTTAATGGTTGTAACCTCTTTAATTAAATCCAATATAATGCAAGGTATTTTCCTCCCCGCTGTTTTAAAACTTCCAGTGCAAGCATTATTACTCAGAAAGATTTAGGCAGTCAACTTCCATTTCAAAGACCCTGACATCCATGTCTGCACTGCAAGAAAGCGAGTCCTAAGTGAGGTGGTGATGGTGCCTCTGAGGAGTCAGCTGGGAAGCTGGTGTTACAGCTCCGTCATCACGTGTGTGTTGCAAAGGTGATGCTGGCTGGCAGTGAGCAGCGCAAACTGACTTACAGGTAAGACAGTAGCGCACCCCTCAATTTCTGGCATCAAAGGCTGATATCAGCCTCCGCTTTTTGTATGTGCCAGCATTTGAGGAACTGCCTTTCAAGCATAGATACGAGCTACAAAACTGCCAAAAAGTCCCCAAACCACCACAAGACTAAGTATTGTTGACCTAATATTTCATTTGACTAAAATGTTCACTATTTTTCATCAGTCATTTTCATGTTATAGCCTTTATTCCTGGGCACATTTGACACGTTTCCTCAAATATCACAATGTAATTATAATTTTTAGGTCAGTGTTCTAGTACATTGCACTTGTTTGACCTTAAACATCTGTTTTAAGCACCCTTGTAATTAAATCTAGTATTTGCCTAAACAAGCTTCTGATTTCCATAGAAATTATTAATAAGCAGAGCAACTAATGTAGCAGTATTTAATTGTAACAGTGAAGGCGTGAATGCAGTTTTTAAACATAGAAACTGTTGCTTGGTAATTGAACATACAAGTAATGTATTTGATTTTTCTTGTGCTGCTTGAAAAATAAATACATCCAGCCTGTTTAAAGCTCTGTCTGCTCAAAAAGCTGTATTATTTTAAGAAATTAATCCCACTAGAAGGCACTTGCAGGCATCTGGTTTTGACATTGGTCACTGCTTGTGATACATGGGCAGTCTTTTTCAAATTTGTCTTCCACTTCAACTGATGGTGGATGTTGCTTTTGCAAATTTAGGACAAGCGGATCCTCTAGTGTGACTTTTTATTCCCTATTGGGTACTGCTTACTGTGAATTGATTGAAGTCCTCAGTAGGTCACAGAGCTCTCTTACATCAGGTACAACTGTAAAATTCTGATCTAGATTTGGCTTCAGAATAGTATGTAGTTCATGTGGATTGTCAGAATCGGGACACTGAGTAGATTAATTGCTGCGCATCCAGCTCTCTGCCATCGCGAGCTATTCACTGTAAGGTTTATTCTAAAACTTAAAAACTTCTACTGTAACTGTCACTGTACCCAGCTGAGAATGATTTGGTAAATTACTGTTTCCAGCAGGAGGAAATGTCACTGCCTTGAAAAACATCAGATGTCAATTACGTGTAGCTTATGGCTAGAAAACAGTTACAATTCTCTCAAACTTTTTCACGTTTTTCTGATGGTATGTAAGTAGCTGGTCAAACACACAGATAAGTTTACATCATGTTGTTTATGCAGTGTAATTTTACTTTCTTGCACATATTTAGTTTCCATTAAAAAGGGCAACTTGGAGACTATTCGTTAAAGGCAGAAACATGACATTATTGTACTGTGATTAAAGATGTATGACAAATCACTTTGTGGTGTTTTGAGTCTTTAATGCTATAGTAGAGGAGAGGCTGACTTATATGTTTTAAAAGGCTTTAAATGTTTTAAAAAATAATCATCTTTAGCATTTTATCAAATTATTTTCCCCCCAAGTTACCTATCCATCTGATCCTGTTCTCTGTAAAGCTTGACACAGGTCACTGCTCTCGCTCTGAGTGGTCCCCTTAGAACACAAATTTGACCTAGGTATGTCTTTAAACAACTGTAAAAACGAATGGATGCCTTAAAGTCTGGCGGAGGCCGGATCGCTTCTTTTTGTTACTGCAGGCAGGGGGAAGTGAAACTATGTAGCAGCAAACTATCTGCAAATGTAGCAAAGCTTGAAGACATCCAAAGTTGATTCCCTGAAACTTGTACACAGATGTACTGCAACGCCAAGTACCAATTGAGTAGGCTGGTATCAGGCTGAAGCTTTGCAGTAAGATACTAGTTTAGAACTCTGTGAAGGATTTAATCATATTTATATTATTTGTGAAATGAGAACTGCATATTTATTCAGCTGTTGTCTTTGTTCCCACAGAAGTCTTTATCTAATTCTGCCACTAGTGACCCTTTCCAGACATATGACAACACTTTGCCTGCAGTTTCCTTCTCAAATTATGCAAGGGAAGAACTGAGACTCGAGAACAGCATTTGCCAGCTGCGTTTTCCTTTGGGGCTGAATACTGACTGCAGCAACCAGTTGTGAAAGTGAGCGAGCTAACAGCAAGTATGTCTTCAACAGAGTCACTAGATGGGCATTAAACAATTGACTAGGCTGGAAGTACTGTATTAT